TATCCCATTTAATGTGACTATTCACACATTTCACTGCAGAAATATTAATGTATTTAATTTCTGGGGCTCCCCTAGACTCCCCTTAGAATGTAAGGTTTTATATATATATATATACACACACACTTTATACCTTCAGCAAAAAAAACTAAACAAATAAGCAAACATACATTTTCTGAATTCTGAAACATATCTGATCTTAAGGATTTTGGTTCATGATTGTGAGATTTGCACTATACTACAGATAACTATTATTTTAAAAATCTTTACCTTAGTTTAGTTTTACTTAACAAACGTCCAACACAAAAATTCATATTTGAGAAATATAAATAAAGGGGTCATTAGTCCCTCTTCGACATGTAAGCATTTGTTGAACCCCTCTGTTTTCAGCAAGGGCGCCTGCCCACCTTCCCTTACGTCCCCACCCGGACTCGGCCCCCCGGGTTGGAAACCCCCGGGCGTGGCTCCGGGCGCAGCTGCCTGGCTGCCTGGAGGCTTGTTTCCTCCGCAGACTTCCGGCTGACCTTCCTGCTTAGACCCCTGCCTCCAACCCCGGGTCTTCCGACTCAGGAAGGGTGTCGGGGTTGTGCTGGGTAAATTGCGTTGCTCCTTGGCTTTTCATTATCAGGTGTTTTTTCTTATTTGTTTTGCCAAATTAACACTTGACCTTTGCTCTCCAGTTTTCAAAATTCTCTCTTTTCTTATGGTTTTTTGCTTAAGAATAATAACAACCCCCCCCCAAAAAAAAGCCCCTTTACATTTTAGTGGGGTTTCAAGGAGGGAGTGGAAGTTCACTGTGTACTGCCATCTTTATTGGGAACTGAGTGCTTTATTTAAAATAGCCCAGTGTCTTCCTTATGGTCCCCTTGTAGAGTCTACCTTTCTACTAGACTGTAGGCCTCCTGCAGACAGAGCAGGGTCCCCAGTGTCTGGCTGAACTCCCAGGGGCCAAGCCCTCTCTGCGAGCTCCTTGGGCAGTTGCGAAACGGGGCTAGTCTTTAGCCTAGGATGGACGAGTTGAGGGAGGAGCCGCCCAGTACTGGGGTGGAAGCGCAGCCCCTGCAGAGGGGACTCTGGCGTGGGGCAGATCGCTGCTGCCTTAGGGGCCTTCGGGAGCAATGCTTAGGGGTCTCTATAGGCACGCTGCAGTGGATATAACCAAGGGTAGTATTGTAAACATTTAGCAACGAATAGAGCATGCGTAGTGACCAGCTCTGCAATACCTTTATGCTGTACTGATGGGTACCAGCCGACTATCCACCCAGGCTGTACTTGGGTTCCAGATATCCCCAGCTTTCTCAGCCCGCCTTTATTATCTTGCACTAATTTCCAGAATGAAGCTACTCTCCCCATTTCTCAGGCTTCCAACTCAAAGCTTATTCGCAAATGGCAAATACTACGTGCTGTGGAAATAGAAGATACGGTCTTTGCCTTGGGGAAGAAGAGCAACACCAAAAAGACTAAGGGCTGGAGTGGAGGCGGCAGAGGCAGGTGGGGCCGAGTGAGCAAAACCAGGCTTGTCCAGAGGACATTTCCGCACCGGCAGCCTTCTCTCGGGCCGCCAGAGTCCTGGGCACTTCCCTTGTCCATCCACATGGACATACTCGGCATTCCCTCTCTTCCCGTGGCCCCTTCCTAACCTCCTTCAGCTTCCTGTGGCCCCTGTCCAGCTTCTAGGGGAAGGGTGAGGGAAGAGCCAGGGGGCAGCAGTGTCTGGCAGAGACGAGGACAAGGTCCTGCCTCTGGCCGAGCCGTGCAGACAGTGCGGAAGGCGCACGCGCGGAGTGCCGGGCCGACAGGAGGCCGCGGAAGCAGCCGAGCAGGCAGAGACTCCTTTTCCATCCTCTCAGCGCGTATCACTTACATGTATTAACAAGGTGCCTGCGTATGTTCTAAGACTAATTTACATTTTTGGGTAAAAAAGATGAGTGAAGTTCCTGGCAGGGGATGAAAGGACATAGGATTAGAGAGAATTGTGAAAGCCGCCGCCTGTAAATTTGACGTGGTTACCGAGGTGAAGGTTTCTGGTCAGACTGCTTTGGGAGCTTCGTCATCATTCCAGACTTTCTGCCGTCTTGGCATCTCTTGGGGAGGAACCTGGGGCTTATTTATACTTAAGCATTCTAAATTCTGGGTTATGTGGTTGGAGGGTTAAATTCCTGGTTTCCACCAGCCCTTCTCGTGCCCTCCTTGTTTTTCCACATCTTGTTAAACAGTTATAATTAGAGAAACATTTGGATGTTTCCTCATTTGCCAAAAACGACTTATAGGATCATTTTCTTTACGCTCAGCACGGTAAGCGTTCCCAGAGCAGCAAGGTGGGGCTTGCTGGCCACCGTGTAACCGGGAGATGGAACAGGCCCGAGAGCTGCGAAGGCGGCTGCTGGGCCGCGGGCACCAAGTGGTTCATCTCAGGGGTGGATCCGCTGACTCCGGGCAGCCCAGCTGCAAGCTGCCACCGAGGTGGGGTCGGTAAGGCTCTGAATACAGCTGATGGCAGGCTGGCTCGCAGACTGTCCAAACGGTCACGGACTTTGTTTACATTACTCTTCTCTGACATTATCACTATCTTTGCTCAGTCTTAATCTTCCTTAAATCCCAAGCTCAGACTCATTTAACTGAGGACGTAGTTCAGGTCCACATACAATTACTGAGCACCGCCTGAATGTCAGGCACTGTGTTAGATGACTCCGTCCCCACCTTGAAACTTCAGTCTATTGGGAGGAAACAGATACACAAGCGTAACTTAAATAGTGTGGTTTTGAGGAACAAATTGTGAAAACAGCGCTTACTGACTAGGTAAATGTGGGGGTTGAGAGACAGGCGAAGCGTCTGTAGTCATGTCCAGGCACTGCCAACCGTTTTCTCCCTGAAACTTTCCTTGCCTGGGCCTCCCCACCCCTCACTGTTGTAGTCTGTTTGCTTTGCTGATCATTCTCTTGTATTCTCCTTCAACGGATCCACTTACAAATATTCATTTCTTACATACCAGTGGCCCCGGGGCCCCCTCTTCAGCTGTCAGCTCTAGTCTCATCTCCTCACTGGGCAAGGGTCCAAAGCTCTGTGCCTGCAGCTCAGACCTCGCATCTGAGCAGCACACTCTATTTCCCAGCGTCGACTAGGCTGCTCCACCTGCCCAGGCCCGGCAGACTCTCTGTGCCAAACCTCCAGCCCCCAGAGCTGTAGGTCTTCCCGCTGCCCTGCCCCTCACTGCCTGGGACCTCTCCGCAGAAAGAAGCAAGGGACGGAAGGCTCATGCAGCATGGTCTGATAGAAACATGCCAGCTACTTTTCTAATAGCCACATTAACAAAGCAAAAAGGAACAGGTGAGATTAATTTTAATAACATATTAACCCAATATTATAATTCAATATGTAATCAATGCAAAATTACTGAGATATTTTATGTTCTGTTTGCATACTGAACCTTTGAAATTCAGTGTGTATTTTAATCTGTTTGTACTAGCCACATGTCAAGTGCTCAGTAGCTTCTGTATGGGACAGCGAAAGTCTAGAATGAAAAAGGTAGTATTTGAGGCTGGCAAAAACTGTTGTATACATATATTATAAGCAACACTATTTTCATGATTCATATATATTCTCTATCCTTACAGTTTTTCTCTAATCTTTAGAGAAATTTCTGAAATTAGTGTTTCATAGCAGTGCTAAGGGAAACCATGAAGTAACTTTCCTCCAGTGCCGGGAAGGGATTTCCAGCGCGTCTCCCCGGCCCCCAGCCCGGGGCCATCACAAGGGAAGGGGAAATTCTTCCCACAGAGCCCCTCCCTGCCGGAGAGTCCCTTCCAAAGCTTGTTGTGAAATCCGTTTCAGAAGAAAATCGCTTTTCCTCACAACTCCTTTTCAAAATTTTCATACCTTAGCTGCCAGAAACAAAATGTATTTACTTTACAATAATTGTTACAACCAAAGTTACCATATATCCTGGATTTTTCCAGAATGGTTTTTTAAAAATGTTTTTAGAAATATTTTTATTAAATGAGTCATATGGTTGTGTAATTTTTTTTGTATCATTAATCTACAATTACATGAGGAACATTATGTTTACTAGGTTCCCCCCTTCACCAAGTCCCCCCAATAACCCCCATTACAGTCACTGTCCATCTGCGTAGTAAGATGCTGTAGAATCACTACTTGTCTTCTCTGTGTTGTACAGCCCTCCTCTTACCCCCACCCCCCACACTATACATGCTAATCGTAGTGCCCCCCTTTCTTCCC